ACCCTCTCTCCCACCCAGCCCCACCCTCCCACCCAGCCCCCCCCACCTCACCTCCTCCCACCCAGACCACCTCCCCACCCAGCCCTCCCCACCCTTCCCTCCCCAGCCCCACCCTCCCCACCAAGCCCTCCCCACCCTTCTCCCACCCAGCCCCACTCCCCACCAAGCCCCTCCCCACCTTCTCTCCCCACCCAGCCCACCTCCCCCCCAGTCACACCACCCCTCCCCACCTAGATCCACCCTCCCCACCCAGCCCCTCCCCCACCTCCCACCCAGCCCCTCCCTCCCTCCCCACCAGCCCCTCCCTGCACGACGGACGGACACAATAATCCCTGTGGGCTGGTGGAACTAGTGGGTTTCCTACCAGTTTAAATGTAAGCTTACAAGCACAATACGTACTCCAATATGTTTGTGGTATATACAACTACATTATCCTGTGAAACTGCAAAGTAAGCATACACATTTGTGCTGTAATACTGCAAAGTAATAATGTTATACGGCATTCGGTGATTCCGTTGAACTCATGTTGAGCTTTCTCTTACAGAAACCTTTGAAACCTGACTTATCTAAACTCCTGTCAGTAAGCCAAAGGTTGGAAAGTGAAGGTAAGTGTGCACTGCGTTTATAGTAATAAAAACGAATGTTTTGCCGTGGTTTTTGAAATGTATGCGTTCCTCCTCAACGCACCCTTGACCAATGCAACGTCGCTAAGGCGCGTGCCATTGCGGCTATGGAAGCCTGTGTCGAGTGCTCTTCCCCGCAGTTCCATCCCCCCTCTCGATCTGAAGCTAAACGGTGCCACTTTCTGCAATTTCCCCTCCGCTCATTTCTGGCAGCAGCCTGTTTCTGAACACAAGTTGCCGCTTCTTTTTACGTGACAATTATCGAGCCATTATGATCTTGCCCCGTTGCATCCGCACATAGATTCCAAAATACGAAAAAGGATTCTAGATTTGAAGCTTTCGTGACTGCAAAGGATTCATACTCTTAGGCTTTTTCGGTAAAGTCACGTAGGTAAAAAATTAAAATAAATCATAGAAGTAATAATAGAAATAAAATGAAATAATATAAATACTAATTATTTATTTCTATTTACTTCTATTAATTTTTTTTACCTACGTGACTTTACCGAAAAAAGCCTAGAGTACGAAAAAGGATGACATCGAGAAGAGTTTGTGATGTCGTCTCGTTTGTAATTAATGTTTTAATTAAAAAGTAAATGCAGCTGAGGCCTTGGTGTCCCCAGACTCCAGACCAGGCATGCTATGATCCGGCACGTTGAGATGCTAGGTTAAATCCTGGCTTCTGGGTTTTTCTCTCTTTCGCTCATGAGGCCATAATGTCTGTGTCGGAGACACCGAGATCCCGGATTGGAGTTTCAAAATCCGGGGGGTCAGGATGCCGAGGCTCTACCCCCCGCCCCTCTCCTCTCGTCTGAGCAGCCCGGCCCATCTCGCTAACCTCACACCAGGGATCCGGCCAAGCCAATGTCACCTGAGTATAACTGCGGGAGTGGGGAAATAGGCCCCTTGAATTCAGATGTAGTGGTTCTGTGATGTCATTTCCCGGGGCTTTTTCATGACACGGTGGTGCACTGCTCAGTGGCGGAGCTGCGGGCGGACATGTCTTCATCTCTCAATGGTACTGCCGGTGCCGCAATTGCAACGTAATCAGGGCGGGGCGAGGTGGGGGAGGGAAATAAACTTGCTCAGGCTATGAAAATCTGACAAATAATATATATTAGGTAAATAAATGAGGTTGAAATTATGAGATGTGTACATTAACTGAGGTTCGTTATTAATTAACACAACAAATATCAATCAGTCCAGTATTATTATTACGATTAAACATTTGCTTGTCTCACCACGCAGATATTTTCCACCACTTTGGCCCTTTCTCTTTGCGTTGCCAACGATGCATCCGCCACCCACACGTGACCTCATCCAGCCAAATCTTGACTTGAAGCTTTCGTGACTGCAGGAATTCATCTTCTTGGCTCTTTTTCGAAAGACCCACGAATACTCATCCTGCCAATCACAGCTGCTGTGAGTTGCCGATCGAGCTCCAGCTTCGATTCCGAAGTGTTGCAGCCCTCTGTTACAAGCGTCAACACAGATATGAACGCCGTTTTAAGCAGCTGTAATGCAGAAAGTTGCACTGTTTAATTTCACCTCTACCCATTCGATAAAAAGCAGGCCCTCATCGCGTTCTATAGAATCCCTACCTGTCGTTGCTTTACGCATATTTCATTATTAAAGCGAGTCATCGTCAGCATGGCCATACGTTTACAACCCCACCGGATCTGTTAAGTTCGTTGCGAGTAGCAATTTTTCCATTCGTGCTTATCCCAGTTGTTCCCTCCCTATCCCTTAGGCTCTTCCGACCCCTATCCAGTCCCTGAGCAGGAGTTTGCCGGAGAAGAGCGGAGATGAGAGGAACGTGTCCTGCACGCCCGCTCCCCCGCGCCTCCCCTCCCAGCTCCTACAGCCGTGTCCCTCGCCCTTCCTCGCCCGCACCCCGGCTAGATCCCTTCGCTCGTCCTGGTCGTCTCAAGGTAACCTACCCCCCGCCCACCCATCCCGTAGTGTCTCCCTCCGGTGCCCTGTCCTCCCGGAGAGCTTGATTGGATTAGAGCGGTGAGCGGTGATCCTTTTTTTTTCCCCTCGGCGGGTACGTTTCCCTCTCGGTGGTGCCGAATAATATAAACGGTGGTTTCGTCGTCAGTTGAAGAAGGAGATGAAGCCCGAAGAGGAAGAGGAGGAGGAGAGAAGTTGGGATGAGTCGGAAGATATTGAGGATGAAGGAGAGAGCCACACAGTGGACGATGACGATTATGATGACGGCGACGATGTTGATGTTAGTGATGATGATGTTGAGGGTGATCAGGAAGAGGATCGTGAAGATGCCTGCTTCATGGACGTCAGTGACAGTACCGAACGTGAAGACAGTAGTGCAGAGGACGACCCCCGTTGTGTGTGGAGAACGTGTTGAGCGAGAGAATACTGTGAGGACGTGGACTTGGGGGAGCGAACGCAACTGTCGGCCCCAGCAGAGCTGTGACGAACTGGAAAGTGCCAATCCAAGCAGCAGCAGCGACGACTTTACAGAGGAGGATTGTGGACGTGAGGAAAGTGAGGTAGCGGCGCAGGACTCCGATGGGCGTGAATCTCCAGATACGTGCGTCGAACGCGCGGCGGATGAGAAGGCGGCACGACACCCCCGAGGCGACGGGGATAGCGAGGGCCACAGCTGAAGGAGACGTTGGGGCGGGAAACACGTTCAGCGGTGCACACAGAAGCGGAACCGAGCTGCCGCGTGGAGGAGGTTGGGGACGTGGACCAGGCACCACGCTGCAGAAATGACAGAAACTGAATTGGAAGGGGAGTTGGGCCAAGCGGGATGCGACGGCGTAGAGGCAAGGGATCGGGACACGAATCGGGAGGCTCACGGTGTGGAAGGAGGATGTAGAGGGGCAAAGGTAGCGGAGGAGAAGCACACTTGCGATCGGTCTGAGGATGGGCGCGGTGGGTGCAGGGAGCACGCTGCGAGTGCAGCTCGTTCGTGCGGGTAATAGGGAACGTGCGTGCCGGGTGGGAGCGCGGAGGAGATGGGTCATGGCGATTGGGATGACGCACAGGAAGCGGCTTTCGAGGGTGACGAGGATGGGCGCTCGGACGAGTGGCAGATGTGAACGTGCACAGGAAAACACGGAGGGAGAGAACCACGTCGCGGCGGGAGACGAGTACGGCCGAGGAGCAAAGCGGTGACGAGGGAAGCAGCGGGTAGGATCGGTCGTCAAAGATGACGGCGCAAGGAGGGAGTCGGCTGGAGATGACCTCGGTGTGGTGGGAGAGGAACAGGACCTCGTCAAAGAAGAAATCGAGGATTTGGAAGGAAATGGCCGTCGAGAGGAACTACGACTGCCCAGAAGAGGGGAACGAGATGATCGCGAAGGAAGATGTTCTGAAGAGCGGAGTGTGCATGTCGTCGGAGAGGACATTAAGATGGCAGGATCAGGCGTTGCAAATATGGACGCAGAGCAGTGTAGGGGTCTCGGCGAGATGTTTGGTGAGCGTCTTGCAAATGAAGATGACATAAACCACGAGGAGGAACTCCTCGTCGAGGATCGGAAGGAGGAGGAGGAGGAGGGACGCGCGCGTGGGGACGGGGAAGGCCGTGGGCGGGGTGGGAGCGACGGGGAGAGCGATGGGGACGGGCAGGAAGTCGCAGGATCGGCTGAGATCGAGGAAGTCGTAGGGTCGGCGGGGATCAAGGAATTAGCAGAATCAGCAGGGATGGAAGAAATCACAAAATCATCAAGCATGGAGGAAATCACAAAATCAGCAGGGATCGCAGAATCAGGGATGGAAGAATTCGCAGAATCAGGGGTGGAGGAAATGGCAGAATCGGGGATGGAGAAAATCACAGGATCGGCGAGAATCAAGGAATTAGCAGAATCAGCAGGGATGGAAGAATCAGGGATGGAAGAAATTGCAGAATCAGGGATCAAGGAGATTGCAGAATCAGGGATGGGGCGAATGGCAGAATCAGGAATAGGAGTAATCGCAGAATCAGGATTGAGGAAATTGCAGAATCAGGGATGGAGGAAATTGCAGAATCAGGGATTGAGGAAATTGCAGACTCAGGGATGGAGGAAATTGCAGAATCAGAAATCGAGGAAATTGCAGAATCAGGGATGGAGGGAATCGCAGAATCAGGAAGGAGGGAATGGCAGAATCAGCAGGGATAGAAGAAGCACGCGGCGGTGCGCAAGTCTGGCAGGACGCTCCTGGCATGAGCTCAGAGGAGCTGCTGGAGATGGAGCGGCGTCGTTGTGCGACGCTTCAAGGCACCCAAGTGGGACGCGTCAGGTACGGTGCTAGCAGCACGGGTTGCGCAAGCGGCTCATCGGGGCGAACCGAACGCAATGGCGAGCGCGTGTCGCGTCACCGTCGCCGCCTCTCGCGTTCTAACCACCGTGGGAGCGGCGTCGTTGGATAATCCTCTCGGTGCCGTTCTCGGTGGAGGTTCGCATTCGATTCGAGAATCGTTTTTCAACGCCGCGTGTGCAGCGTTCGTCAACCTCCACGCAGACAACAGACTCGGTCCCCTTTTGTTCTACATAGCAGAGCCGGCGACGCTCTCCTAGACGAAGGTGGGTCGTCTCCGTCTTGAGCTCTTTAAAGCCGCGTGTCGCTGCGTGTATTAGTGGCTCACCTGGTGAGGGTAACGCAGCGTGTAATTGTCACTCACCTGGTTAGGTGTAATGCCGCGTGTAATTGTCATTAAACTGGTGAGGGTAACGCCAGGTGAAACTCACCCGGTGAGGGTAACGCCGCGTGTGGCTGTCGCGCTTTGTGATTGCGTGAAGGCGGCGGACGACGAGGATGACGAGGAGGAGGACGAGGAGGAGGATGTTGCTGGGAGCTGCAGCGATGAGTCGCTCCACTCCGGCTCCCCCCGCGCTCTGGGGCCCCCGGGACCAGAGAAGCACGGAACCCGCTCCCCGCACACCGCACGGAGGGGTGGGCGCTTCTCTCACTCACTGCTCACCGCTTCTCTCTCTGCTGAGCTCACCGCTTCTCTCGCTCAATGCGGGCTCCGCTCACCGCTTCTCTCACTCACTGCTCACCGCTTCTCTCTCTGCTGGGCTCACCGCTGCTCTCGCTCACTGCGGGCTCCGCTCACCACTTCTCTCTCTGCTGAGCTCACCGCTCCTCTCACTCAATGTGTGCTCCGTTTACCGCTTCTCTCACTCACTGCTCACCGCTTCTCTCTCTGCTGAGCTCACCGCTCCTCTCACTCACTGCGGGCTCCGCTCACCGCTTCTCTCTCTGCTGAGCTCACCGCTTCTCTCACTGTGTACTCTCTGCTTACCGCTCCTCTCACTCACTGTGTGCTCCGCTCACCACTTCTCTCACTGTGTACTCTCTCCTTACCGCTCCTCTCACTCACTGTGTGCTCCGCTCACCACTTCTCTCACTGTGTACTCTCTCCTTACCGCTCCTCTCACTCACTGTTTGCTCCGCTCACTACTTCTCTCTCTGCTGAGCTTACCGCTTCTCTCATTCACTGCTTGCTGCGCTCAACGCTTCTCCCTCTCTCTGCCGCCCTCACCTCTTCTGTTTCGCAATGGCAGGAAACCAGAGGACCCGGAGGAAACTCATGCACAACAGGGGGAGAGAGAACACACACATTACACTCGCTCACACATACACACACATTTCTGGAGAATCATATTAACTTCACACACATATAAACTCGGGAATCGAACTCAGGTCCTTCTTGCTGTGAGGCACAAGTGTTACCTCTGCTCCACCCTGCCACCTGAATGCTTGAGTGATAGGGGCAGTGGTGCAACCGGCCTGGGATACAACAGTACGTCGTACCGGAACTTGCCAGGACACCGAATGTGTGTACAGGATACCCATCGAACAAAGACGGTCACCGGCTCCTGCGGCCGTCTGCTGAGCACGGCTGGCTACGTATGGCGCGAAAGAAGTTCAACATACTGTACAAGCATACATAACCGGCGCTTTTCCTCAACGGCTCCTGTTCCTACGCCGCGTTGTTTTTTCCGCAGAGGGGAAACGGCGGTGAGCGTGGCCTTTTGCAGGACGAACACCTTTCATGGCGGCACTCCTTCATTTACATTCCTGCCGCTTGGCCAGAATCATTCGCCACCAAATCCTCATCGGCTATCACGACCTCAACGTCCGCAGCCCCAGCTCCTTCACACCGTCTCCCTTTGCGGAGGAGGATTTTACGGGTAACGCTCGTTCACTCGCTCGCATTTTTCCGCGACGTTTCAAATGCGGGACTTTTCTCGTCACGATCCGGCGTTCCCAGACCTCATGGCGGCGCTCGGGCTGGAGGAAGAGGACGGAGGAGAGGACGCGGCAGAAGACGCGAACGGAGAAGCGGCCGGCACGGGGGAGGATGAGGACAAGGAAGACGACGAGGAAGAGGACGATGGACAGGAGCACGGAAGGTGGTCCCCATCGGACTCGGAGGTATTCACTTAATTTATACGTGTGCCATTCATCGAATCGGCATTGTTTAAGGTTAACCTTCAAGTCTGGATTGTTTAAGGGTAAGTTCAACCTTAAACAATGGGAATTCAAGCCAGATACAGCTTGGAGAGATGAATGGAGTTCTAAATAAATCACAAACAAACACCTTGTTATTCTTGGTTCTTTGTGAAATCCACAGCAAGAAAATGTTTTTGCTGTGGATTTCACACCTGATGATGATTGCTTGTGTTGCAATCGAAACGTCGTGAGAATTTTTATTGTTTTGTATTGTATTATTTTATTATTTTCCTTCTACGGACTTTACCGAAAGAACCAACAATATGAATCCCTGCAGTCACGAAAGCTTTAAATCAAAATTTAAAACACCTTGTTGTGAAAGAACCAACGCAGAAGATCTCTGGGTTTGATCTTCCACGAAGCTCATGGTCCACTCTGAACCGCATTCGCACGAACTACGGTAGATGCGGACGCCAAATGGAGAATGAAAAACTCTCCGGTAGTAGTGTGCGACTGTGGTCACCCAGAACAGGTCGTAGCACAACGTATAACGACACAACGGCCCAATCCACAAACACGACGGAGACATCGCAGCGATGATACTCTCCGCTGCTCCTGATGCGGTTATCTGGCTTGACTACCTGAGTGTCAAATTGTAGTCGTTGCTCTGCATCTACATCAGCAGCCGTTTGAAAGAAGAAGAAGATTCCAAAGACTTTCATTTATTATCTTGTAACGATTAACATCTTCATGGCAAAAGCCGTCGATGCCGGTATCCTGCCCTTCCATCGGATACCCCAGCTGCTGCACGGTAGACACCTTGAGATGCGTACACAGGCTGAACAAAGACTGAGGCGCCATGGGCAGCGTCTAGAAGTATCCAGCAGCATCCCACCTTGTGCGACGCTGCGCCCAGCTAGCCACTACCCCCGCTTATTCCCACTCGTGCTGCGACGTAGTTCCGTTCACCCAATCGCCTTTATCCGATTCGCATCAGCACTGTAAACAAACTCGTTCCCGAATACATTCGTCACGTTGTGTCCAATTAGCGTTATGAAAACAATGCGTGGCATATCCGTTTAGCCTGCTGCCGCTATATATTTGCGACCATCGGTTCGTGCCGGGTCTCCTGCTCTGTCACCGATGCTCTTTGTTTTTTTTCCCAGTTCTCGGAGGCCGTGTCCGACAAGAAAGAAGCGCGGCCTCTTCAGAAGCCTCCGGGTCAAGAGACGTCTTCAAGCCGTTGAGCGTCTTGAGCGGCAATAAACGTGAGCGATTCCCACATGCGTGACAGCACGACAGACCACGACGAGCGGGTCGCTTGTTTACTCCGGGAGAGCCAACAACGCCTTGGTAGGATGACTCCCGTTCGGGAGGTTCCCGCACGCGATACAAAACTAAGATATTATTAAAAGCAATGTACTCATACGGGACATGCTCCCCTGCCCATCATCCGTGCTGTGTTTGTGTGCAGCAAATGTGATTGATGATCTTGGCCTGGACGATGCTGATGACCTGGAGGGTAAGGAGACGCACGCTTTCATCCAACGCGTTCAGTCAGTCAAATTAGACGCGCACACTCACATCCTAGCTGGATCCCATGTTAGCTGGATGCCATCCTAGCCAGATGCCATCTGAGCCAAGTGCCGTGCTGGTCTTTCTGGCTAACTCCATTTGGGGATGATGACTCGTGAGCAATCGTAAACAAAGTGTCTTTGTCCACGCTGCGTTGGCGGTGATGCACAAGGCTATTTGACTTAAACTCCAACTTCGTCAACAACGCTGTGACGTTTTGGCTAAATTGCCCTTCTTCAAAGTACATGTGCCATGCAAGGAAGTGTCGTCGACAAAAGTGATGACTTCTCCGGACGGGTGCCCGGTCGTGACCTGTTCGTCCTGCAGATGAAGTCACCTCCACAGAATGATTTCAGATTTACCTGAAGCACGTGCCCGGCCTTCCACCTCACAGAAGTTGGCGAACGTAGCCTGTGCTCAAGTGGCTTTGACACGCCCAGGGTCGGTGTAGTCAAGCTACCAATACGTCGTCATGTGCACCAACAGGGGCTTGCGCACAAACACGTCCATGTCTACTTACACCTCGTGCTCTCTTTTAGCCCCCCCCCCCTCCCGATACGTTCCATTCATTGGCTACCACATTCTGATAAGCTCCCCCCCCCTCTTCCCCCTTAACTTGTATTTAAGAGCTTGCATCTTGGAATCCCTGCCTCACTTGATGCAGCAAATCTGGCTGTGACGGTCCCACCTGATGACGGAGACTTGTGTTGCCTCCGAAACGTCGTGATTTTTATTAATTTTATTTTCAATTTTTTACCTACATGGTGACTTTACCGAAAAAACTAAGAGCATGAATCCTTGCAGTCACGAAAGCTTCAAATCTAGAAGCTGCTTCAAGTGGCGTTTCCCAAACTCGGTTCCTCACGTCTGCCTTCCCAATTCGTACCGCGTGTGTTTATTTTTCCGTGCAAGGCCCACTTGACGTGACGTCACCTGGCGACTGCTAAAATAGAAACGTTGCACCGTGAGGGGGCACGGTTAAAGATGTTTCGGACGTCGTGGGTTAAACGCGTGTTCATTCTTTGAAATTCAAAACTTGTTCAAGTATCGGAACTACTAAGTCAACATTGGTTGACATTTATTGCATATTATAACGATTGTTGATGTCCAGTTCTAACACCAAAAAGGTAGTGGTAAATGACCTAACGGTATAGAACCTTCATAATGAAGTCTTTACTCACACGTGTGTGTTCTTTCACCTGCAGATGCCTCCGAATGGGATTCCATGGGCAGCCGTTCCGAAGCTTCCCACGACGCGGGGCCTAGCCCGCTCAAGCCACCGCGTGCCCAAACCGCGGAGCAGACGGGTTTCCACGCGGGCCGGGACGCCGCCGAACCCTCCCAGCTCGCGCCCCCCTCCGTCCGCGGGGACACGCGGTCGCACGCGTCCCGTCCGGTCCAGGAGCCCTCGGGATCCGGGAGCGGCGGCGGCGGCGTCGACAGCGAGGCGGCAGGAGCATCGCGTGACGCGCGCGCCGCTGGCTCCGCCGATGCCGTCGGCGGTGGCCACGCGCCCGCCTCGCCGCGGGAACCACGGCCCCCCGCCGATTTGGAACAAGCCGCGTCGGCGTCTTCAAGCAAGCCGCTGTCCCGCTTCGCGGGGGCGCTGGGTTCTGCCGCCGATCGCCGGGCGTCTCTCGTTCTCCCGCCGAGCAAACCTACGGCAGAGTCGGAGCCGTCCCTGTCGGTGGAAAGTAGCCCTCTGAAGATTGTGAAGCGTGAAAGTTCAGACTTGTCGTCGCTGTCTGCGGAGAGAGTAGGCGGTGCCGCTGCAGGGAGCGGTCCCCGGACGTTGCCGAGTGTTCAACCGGCAGCCTTGGTGAACACCTCCAACAACAACAACAACAGCAGCAGCAGCAGCAACCTCTTCTCTTCTGCTTATATTGAGCACCCATCGAAAATTGAGGACAAATCAAAGGATGCTTTTGGTAAGGAAATGGAACGCCGCGTTGCCGTGCATTTGTTAATTATCGGATAGCTTGAAGGGGTGGTGATTTGACTGCGAACGAAGGTTTACGGCAGTGGGTTCTCGAATTTCAAACGGGATGCAAAAATGCGCGTATGGAAATAAAATAGCAGTATTTCCTGAAGAAGTGCATTGTGGACGTCTTGTCTTGGGTCACCTTCAAAATTAATGTCGAGAAAATGTGACCGACTGGCAACAGCAGTGATGCAGTGACTCATCAGCACAGTGTCGTCGCATAGTGGTTCTCAACATGCTTGCTATGGCGCCCCCCCCATGCCCCCACCCATCCCCATTCCAGCGCCAAAAAGCCAATTATTACGGTAACCAAGGCTACCATAGTCGGATCAAACGCCGACGCTTCGAGTGAACGACATGTTACTACGGCATTGCCTCGTGTTGCGCGGTTATGTCGCCACAACGTGGAGCTATCATTTGTGGCCGGGCCGCTTCTGAAAAAGAGCTAAATTGTTCAGTGGGCCTTGCCTGGTAAAATAAATAATAGTTTATCGTTTTTTTTAATAGCCTATGTGGTGAGCGTTGTTGCGTTTCATACGTAATCAAACGCAGTTTACGCTTTTGCTTCAGATGAGATCGGATCGCCGGGTGTCGATCCGGATGAAGACTTGTGCGAGACCTTCTCCTCCGGCGGAACGAGCCAAAGGGAGGAACTCGACGTTGAAGCAATTACCGATCAGAGGGTAAGCGTCTCGCCTAACGTACCGGTGTAATGCATGAATAGTTGGTAATAGCGCGCCGCACAGCGGAGGCTCGAGGAAGAACCACGGACAAGCGGGAAGGCAGCGGGAGCCACGCGCTGAGCCCGCAACAGTGTTTGCCCATGCTCTGCGGTTCTTTACACATCAAGGTGTTATTGACCAATTAATGAGTGTTTACACGTGGGCGAGAAAAGATCTAATATATACACAGAGCTATTGAAACTCCTTTCGATTAAGTAATTTCAAGGAAGTGTACGTAGGTGTTTAACATTTTCTTCGCTTTAGGAATGCCCTCGTTTGCTGTGCGGTGTGATTGTTAAACTTGATCAATTGTTCATTTGTATCGGGAGTCCGTTCATCAGTCGGTAGTTCAAATGCCCACAGGCTCACTGGGTTTCGATTTAAAGCTTTCGTGACTGCAGGGATTCATCTTCTTGGTTCTTTCGGTAAAGTCACGTAGAAGGGAAATAATAAAATAATAAAAATATCACATAATAAAATACAATTCTCACGACGTTTCAGCCACAACGCAAGCAGCCGTCCTCAGGTGAAGAACAGGGCTGTCGGAAAGACGCTACCGAAAGAACCAAGAAGAGAGAAAAAAGCTCACTGGGTTATAGACAACAAACTGCATATCGCAATAGTTGCCGAATCGGCGAAACCAGGTGTAGTTGGGAACATGCTCAGTAGGTGTTGTAATAATTCTTGCCTGTTCAAAGTTAGATACACCAATTACATTGTGCAATACCCCCGCAAACAAATAATACACTCGGTGTGAATATGAAATTTTAAAGGTTTGATTTCTTCAATCTGAACCAATAGTGAGCGGAAATATTGCATTTGTTTTGTACACCGTGTATCACGACGAGATGCGAATGCTTATCTATCCGTTTGCTTATCTTCTTGTAATTGCACGCTTGCAAAAGGACGTAAGTAAAGTCGACCTTGCACCTGTGAGTAAAGGGGTGGATGATGAAAGTGATGAGCCGGCGCTTGAGGACAACGAGCAAAGTGTCGTTCACGAGGTTGACGACTCGCAGAGCCTGGAATCGGGAGGCCCCAAAGGAGCCGGGGCAGAGGACGATGGCGCCAACGAATCGCGAGCAGCGTTCGACGAGCAAGCCGACGGTCGCACGAGGGACGGGTGTGAAAAGCCGAAGACGGGCTCCGATGAAAACTCAGCGGACACCGGCGCTGCAGCCCTGCCACGCGGCGGTGAGAAGGCCACGGACTCGTCGAATCCCCAGCTCACCAAAATGACCCGTGCACGAACTGCCGAGGGAATCGCTGCGTTGCCCGCAGAGGACCAGAGCGATGTTGGTCTTCGTCGGACCAGTTCGGCGGGGGAAACAGCGCGACGCGGAGGTGGAGACGATGATGGCTTCGTACGAGAGGACACGGTCGCGTTGTCGACACGAGACGGCGGAAACGACTCGTGCGCTGATGCGGTGGGTCAGAGCGCCGCAAGTCCGACGGCCGCCCGGGCGTGTGACGAAGACTTCGCGTCGTCCGAGAAGCCGCCCTCGGTTCCTACCTCCCCCCCCGCCCGGCCACCGAGTCTTCCCGAGGACTCGAGCTCACTCAACGTAAAGGCGTTAGTTCAAACATTTAACGAAATGCTTATGAAATCGGCGCACAAAGATCGACCGAGTAGCAGTATTGTTTTCAAAAGCAAACCTGTTGACGATGAACAAGGAAGCGCGTGCGTGTTAGCGAGCGCCGCCGCCGCCGTGGAGATAGATACCTGCGATGCCGCAGTTAATTCCGAGCTGGCGGTCGCTGTTAAATCATTAAATGAGCGCCGTGCACTGGACAAACCCGCACTCCGAGCTTGTCATCCCCGAGCTAACGACGCCCTTCCTTCCAATGAGCGGGGCACGCCATGCAGCTCCGCGTGGAGAAGCGCAGAATCCAATGTCGATTGCAGAAAGCAGTTCTCGGAAAAGGAATGTCGAGATGACATCGAGAGGTTTAACCACGAGGTCGATATGTTGAAGCAAGCTTTTTTCCATTTGGAAAAGCAGAATATTCATCTCAAACAGAAGGTACATGGTTTTGACGGTGTCACATCAAATCGTGTGCCTTCGGACTCCCGTGCGTTTTGCATGCGATAACGGGGAACTGGGTTTTCTTTCGAGCAATTGAAGGCATTTTTTAAAAACACGTCAGACCTATAAAAGCACTTTATGAAGCCTGTGTTAGTGTGTATTATGGATTACAAACAGTTACAATAACTTGTTGTTAACTCTAGCATTCTTTTGTTAACCCAGAGTGTCCGTTGCCATTCGTTTAACATTTCCCCGCCAAGTTTCATTCTCATCATCTCATACGTAGCGGCCTTTTTTCCAAATTTAATTCGTAGCTCATATTCACACATTAAAACGGACGGGTTCCCAAGCGGGCAGGATCTACTCTGCCTCTTATCTCAGTTGTTGGCTGAGGATGGCGCTGCGATCGGCGCTGTGCTTGTCCCTCCCTCCTCGTGACGGTGACGCGCACGCACCGGCACTGCCGCTGCCGCGTCGTTCCCGCGATTGTTTATCCAACATACTCTTAGTTTTTTAGGTAAAGTCACATAGGTAAAAAAATGAAATGAAAATTTATAAAAATAAAATAAAAATCACGACGTTTCGGAGGCAACACAAGCCTCCGTCACCAGGTTCAAGTTCAAGTTAATGTATTAGGTGTAGCCCTGTGAGCCATTCGGCTCTTGAATCGGGTGCAACCGCAACAAACAAAAAACAAAACATGAACAAAAAACATCTTGAAGTGAAAATGTGACTAAGTGCAAACAGAAAATCCAAGAAAAGACAGCAAAATATTGGGACCGTCAAAGCCAGATTTGCTGTATCAATATATTTGTTGTATCAATATACAGCAAATCTGGCTGTGACGGTCCCACCTGATGACGGAGACTTGTGTTGCCTCCGAAACGTCGTGATTTTTATTATTTTATTTTTATTAATTTTAATTTCATTTTTTTACCTACGTGACTTTACCGAGAAAACTAAGAGTATGAATCCTTGCAGTCACGAAATCTTCAAATCTAGAATGTTTATCCAACACCACTGCGGTGACATCGCTGGAGTTCCCCTGTTCACCTTCTTCTCTGGCGCTCTGTCTCAACGGGGGCAGCACCTGTGATGACATCCTCTCCGTCCTTCTGTGTTCTCTGCCGCCCTCTTCACTTAGACGAATGCCCCTTTCCTCTCCCTCCTTTTTCTCTGCCATTGTTATTGTTGTTTCAGCTCACTCATCGGTTCATTTCACAATTCTCACGACCCAGATGTTGACGTTAGATGCTTATTGCTCAATTTGGTTGCGAGATTTTTAAACGATAATAACTGGTACGTTGTTAAATGCTTGAAGGCACGACAATGAAATCAGTTTGGGTGTGTCGGGTGGCCAGATCATCGCATGGCCTGACCCAAAAAGTCAGCTATAAACCATACTGTTGGTTGCAAAAAGCTACGGGTGACATCTTTCCTTATGTTTCATTTTGAATAGATTACCTCCGACAGACCAGACAAGGCCGCCGGTGATGCGGCTGTGAGACGAGACTTTCAAAATGGGCCTGCAAGCCTCTCCGCTCAGATGAGTGGGCCGAAGCCTTCCGAGATTGAGCAGCAGGTGCCACGGCACGGACTTCCCGCGGCCCGCCACGAGGAACACCAACACCAGAGTGGCAGACGTGCCATCGGCGGCGGCGGCGGCGGTGGAGTCCGCGGTCTGCCTTTAAGGCCTCTTTCAGACTCTCTGGCACCCACCAAGAGACACGCTGCTGCTCCCAAGTATGGCTACTAGGCAGAGCTTTCGTTTTGTCGTAGAAAATGTAGCTAATATTATGCAGTGGATTCTGGATTATCCGCGTGCGGTTTATCCGATTTGCGGATTAACCGCCCAAATTAATGATGTAAAAACATGTTCTTTGTTCTTTCGGTAAAGTCACGTAGAAGGGAAATAATTCAATAATAAAAATATTAAACAATAAAATTCTCATGACGTTTCGACTGCAACAAAAGCAGTAATCAAGAAAATTTTCTTGCTGTGGTTTTCACACCTGATGACGATTGCTTGTGTTGCAGTCGAAACGTCGTGAGAATTTTATTGCTTAATATTTTTATTATTTTATTATTTCCCTTCTACGTGACTTTACCGAAAGAACCAAGAATATGAATCCCTGCAGTCACGAAAGCTTTAAAACAAAATGTAAAAACAGTTACACATTGAGTTATTATTTATTTATTTATTACAAGTCATGTGCTGAAAGCGAACAAATATGTGTTCCGGTTAATCTATAATCCACGTGATCGCCTCTCTACAGTACAGTAGTTGCATATCTTTACAACAGTGGACGGAGTTTGATTGATTTTGATTGGCGTGAATTTTCCGCGGCCGTACTCCCCGTCATGAGCGCGGATAATCGATTCCAAGAACACAGGATGAGATGTTACTATCCTTTGTGCAAGCACTTCCAAGAGTTCATGAACAGTGAGCCTGGTGAAATTTGGGGAGCGCATCGTCAGTAGTGTACCTTTGGTTCCTAGGGTGTTTCGGCCTTTCACACGATACACCCTCCCCAAAGGCGGCCAGCGACAGGGTGATCAATCCTACGCTTGCGTCCCATTCCCAATTAGCCATAGGAGTTGCCTTGTTGTTGATAGCCAACATCCCATGGGACTATGAGTCTGCTGTGTTTCTGTTTGCGTACCAACACAGTTTCATTTCATGTTGCCTCGTTTTTTTTCACCGTGTGCCTTCCATCTTTTGTTTTTCTCACACGTTCAGCCACTGTATTACGTGCAATCATTTATCACGGAACACTGCAGTTGGTTGGCACCCAGCGGTTTAACATCATAAGTCGATAAGTAAGCAGTTGTGTCGTATTCACGATGCGAACAATGTGCTCATATGTTTACATTCTGTGTTTGTTTGAAAGGGAACGCACTGCCAGGAACGGTATTGAAAGCGACGACATTAAAGCAGGGGTAAGTCTTCCTCCGGCAGCATTTGTTGACATTATGGTCTTCAAAAGACCAAACTCTGCAACGTTGAGAGTTCAGGTGTAACAAATGAGACACGACTGCCCAGTACTTTCACCGAGCACTTCTCTTAGATTGTGTTGGCGCCCTTCCTCTCGGCACGAAGCGTACTTGCCCGCCTGCGATAAATAACGAGACGCACACTTGATTGATCCTTTCTTTCACTGACTCTTAAGGCACGGCCCACATGCTACCACACAACTACCTCCAGGTAAAACTCTCTGGACAACTGCCAGAAACGAACTGCCAAACACTCATCAGAAGCGTTCCTGTGGCCATTCAGTTGGCCTCGTTACATTCTTGCACGTGCACCACACATCGAGGTCTGCTCGTCATGGGAGAGCGCGTCAGGAGAGAATTCGTGTAGTGTTTGCTGCTGCTCCTCCACAGATGAAAGTGGTTCACTTATACGGTCCACAGTTTGAGTTGCATGGCCATACTCTTAGGTTTTTTCGGTAAAGTCACGTAGGTAAAAAAATAAATAATATTAAAATAAAATAATAATAAATGAAATTAACTAAATTAAATCACGACGTTTCGGAGGCAACACAAGTCTCCGTCTTCAGGTGGGACCGTCACAGCTAAATTTACTGTGAAGGTCCCATCTGAAATTTTAATCGATCACTCGTCATGTGCAGGCCCTGACTGTGTCCTCAAGGAAGATGCAGAGAGGTGCTTTAGTAAGCACCTCGGGGTTTCATGAACACACGCTTGAGCTTTCCTCACTCGATCACCGCACAGTCCTCAAGGATGGTTAAAGGGATCAAATTACATCATGAATCTTTTGCGATCCGCGGCGTTGGATTGCGATCCAGTGATTGGTGACGGCCGCTTTATACGGCGTTAATGGAGTTTGGAGGTTGACACGGATAACACAGTCCTCCTCATTAAACCTAAGGAGTCAATATTCGTGAACAGGTACTCCGGCACAACACAGGCCGGGCGGCGGTGGCTATGTACGTAGCCTGTATACCAGCGCTGTGGAGGCATCGAGGGTTGGCGGGTCGTGCAGATGCTGTGAAACTCCTTTGCAGTGGGCTTCGGGGAGGTTTCATACCGTGGCTTGCCAGGAGAAATCTGTGCAGGGTAGTGTGGACTCATGGCATGTCCCTTCTGGTTGAAATAGAGTGTTTCCCCCTCTCGTGCATGGTTTCTCCAAGTGCTCCGGTTTCCTTCCACACGTACCTCCCATAAACGCTCATTAATTGGCCGGTAAACATCTTGATATACAAAGGACAGCAGAGCTTTGGTAATTTTTGGCACCGGCTCAGCCGCGTTGCTGCCGTCCAACTTCTCTGTGGTTCCTCTCACCTTCCGAGTCATTCTCTCTTTCCGAGTGACTACTGCAATTTGAAATCAGTGCCCCTATGCCCTTGAGAGTGCTGCTTTTATTTTTGCTTTTATTTAACGACGCACGACCCTTGACGCCGTGAAAGTGTAGGTGCCGAGAGGACGTTCTTTCTTTCTCTCCCCCTTCCCGCTGGCCTTGTTGCGATGGGGCCGTGCAGCTGCCGGCAGGCCTGGACGTGCTCACCGAGTCGTCGGACACGGAGGACTCGGAGGGGGCGGTGATCGGCTCCCTGCCGTCCTCCTCCAACCCCATTCTGCAGGGGCTCTCCATCGCAGGTCCGTGTCCACTCCGTACGGCTTTTCTAAAGAAGCCACTGGAGAAGCTGTGCACTTTTAAATAATCTAGATTGAAAACTTTTTCTTTAGAGCTCCTTTTTGTGTTTAGTTTTGTTGTCCTTTTCCCCCGCACCTCCGATTAGCGCGGTTGGCTACGTACGGTGCAAAAGAAGTTCAACGTACGTAGGCCATTCCTCGTTTTCACGCGGTAGTAGATGCGTTCCTGAAAAGTGCCGCGTGAAAAACGCATTAAGTGAAAACAGTTTTCCCCATAAATATCGTGACGATCAAGTTTGGCGAGATACGATGTACGCACGATGCGGTAAGATTGCGGGACACAGAACTGAGGGTACGTCGCCGCGTTGCTGTATCGTAGCGCTCAGCCACGCAGCTCAACAAAATGTATTACTTCTAGAGGAAACACATGCTAATTAACTGATTACTAATCTATTATATCATTACAATAAACCCCTCCTCCGCCTCTGATCTCTGCACCTGATGGGTTCACGGTGATGACGTCATCTTGCTCTATTTCAGACCGGAAGCAGGTGGATTGCTTCACGATTCTGGCAAATCGCCCGATGATGTTGGATGTAATTACCAGCAAAACGGCACAGTACTCATTGTAAACGTTGTGGATTTACTCTCCAACACACCGGTGGGCTGAAGTGGTAATTAATTGGCGCGTTTTGTTTACGTGACAAACCTTGCCTGCTGTGTCGGGTGGTGGAAGGTTACGACACATTTATACTGGTAGGAACGAAGTGGACCAGACCACCAATAGATTAATGTGTCCGTCCGTCCGTCCGTCCGTCCGTCCGTCCGTCCGTCCGTCCGTCCGTCCGTGGGAGGGGTGGTGTTGAGGGTGGTGTTGGAAATGAAAGACTACGAGTCTTTAAATCTCACAGCGTTTCTTGTCAAAACAAACACTTTTAATTAACGTTACACTAGAATACAGTAATTTTTTCTTTAACTCCTCTATACCCGGTCGATATCTCTGTACCGTTACTAAGTATTATTCCTACCAGCCCACCCCGCAGGGTCCTGTTTATACTTACGCGATCTAGCCCCAAAAACCATTATTACGAATAGTATTGGTCGTGAAAGCCGACTACGTGTTAAGCCAAAGTAGTTCGCCGTCGAACGCTCAGAAACCGCGCTGTAACGGTGCGCGCGCTCCGCATTCTCAGTTTTCAGTTTCATTTCATTTTCATTTATTAGGTATAACCCTGTGAAACATCTTAAAGTGACGACACGCAACAGAAAAATCTTCCAGAAAAAAAGAGCAAAGTCTTCCAGAAAAAGCACCGCATTTCAACACTGTGTGCAAAAATCCCAGTGGGATGCAAGTCAAACAATAACAACCACATAATACAATGTAGATTAAAGTTATCAGGCTAACTCTGTACTACAACAAACAAACATGGCTAAACCAAAACGTTTTCGAAATCACCAAAAGAAAGCCATAAAAACAATGTAACAGTGATCATAGGAACTGTGATTCCGCATTGTGTGCAAAGTGTTCCCGAATGGAAGAACCGCGTTGCAGCGAATTCGCGCCGTCCGAACACCACACGTTAAGCCAGGACTCCCTGCGTGTCCTGCGTCGTGTCAAATCCCGTCGGGTTTTTGTGGCTTCTCTCTCTAACGGCCACATTTGGACTCGCAGCGGACGTTCTCTTCATCACGTAACCTTCTTGAATATGAAATTAATGATTGAATTGAATAAGCAGACAATACGCCCACCTTCACATATCCGTCCCCTCCAGTAGATTTGACACATCCCATCAGCTGCACGGCCTTCCGGAAGTGCGTAATTTTTGGCAGCATTTGTTCAAAGTAAGCAACCTTTGGACTGGTTTTTGTCGTCAGCATTTGGGCTTGCTTGAAATCAAATGCTGGTGAACTGCAAGGCACATATAGGCAAGGACCCTCTATCAGGTACGGAGGATACAACAGATGAAGTGAGTTAAATAAAAGCGTGTAATAAAAAGCAAACCCTTTGATGATGAAGAAAGAAGATAACATCCAAAAATGAAGGTACAACCTCCAAATTGACATTCGTTCTAAAACAGGCATATTTATGCAAGCATTTCCTTTTTATTTTATCTCGAATTTCATTGAGTAATTATAGCCCTGTTGTTCTCATCACTCACCCATTCCCCGTAAGGTGTGTGGTGTGAGCACACACCTCATATAATCACCACCACACATTTAACACCCTTTAGATCCACCCAAGTATTGAAGTAGCTCAACTGTGAAGATGTTTGGAGTGTTGGTAAGTGCTCGGTTTAGTGCTGTGTGTGCATTGTGAGCATCGTTTCTAAAAATCCCAGGCTCCTATTGATCGCTAAGCAGTAAGTGTAGTTATGAGTGTGTGTTTCCTAGCTGACAAAGGGAAGGCAGGATATTTGTTTTAGCCTGGGAGCGTGTGTGTTGTGGGGAGCGGTAGTGTAACGATTAGCGCGCCGCGCTACCATAACCCGGCGAACCGCGTTTGATTCAGGCTCACGGCCAACGTCAGTGCCGAATATTCCTAGCCTCTACGTCCACTCAGCCTTAAACGAGTACCTGGTGCGGTGTGTACACATCAGCATTGGGGGTATAAAGGCGGTCGGGCGTGGTGTTGACCACCCCCCCCCCCCTCGTGTACCGTGCTAGCCTTAATAGCTGCTCGCTAACAGCGATTGCCCCAGCAGTCTAAGGGATCTTTGTTGTTGTTGTTGTGTGTGTGCATGCGTATGTTGTTTGACCTCGCGGTGCGTTCCGTCAGATCCGGCGCAGTATGCGAGGCTTCAGGCGTGGGTCTTCCAGGCCCAGCGAGGGTTGGAGTGGGAGAAGAACCGATACTGCTTGCTGTCCGACAAGGTGAGCACCACTTCATCTCTCACACTTGTCACGTCTTCCTTGCGATGCCGGGAAGTTACTGGGGGCTTTTAAATCATCCACATTAACAAACTACTTTCTTTAAAGCTGTTTGTTGTTGTGTTTAGCTTGTTGTCCTTCCCCCCTGCACCTCCGGTTGGCACGGTTGACCGGGTATGGTGCAAAAGAAGTTCAACGTACATACAAACTAACCAGCTTCAAAACGAACATATTTGTCCCCGTGGTGCATGCGGGTACGTGAAGGACAACGCTTGTTTTTCCTTTCACGGGCGATGCGCGAGAAGCTGAAGCAGGTGGAGGCAGAGCGGAGTGCCGTGCAGAAGGCTCTGTCAGAGATGACGAGAAGCAAAGAGGGTCTCGAGGAAGAGAAGGTCAACCTGGAATCGGACCTCGACGCTCTCCGGTATTGGCCAGTGTCCGTCGTTGTGCTGCACTACCTCGTCGGTGTGGATTCTTGTTCTTCTGAATTCGCATTGGTAGCTGGACGTTGTCTTTTCTGCAAGTCACGATTTCCGCCCCCGGCTCTGGCTGCCGGTCGATTAACCGTGGAATGCTGCGCGGCGCCTGCTTTCACGGGAGACGTTTAAAGAGCCCCGTTGAAAAGTCAGTTGCAAAAAAAGTCTGCCCATCGTGTCCTGGTGTCATGGCCCTAATTTGCCAACTTTTTTCAAATGTTCATGCAAATTAATCGATTTTGATTCGACCGGTGGTTCTGAACCTGAGGTGCACGCACCCCCTGGGCGAGACGTGGCCAGATGTTTTTAAATAATCGAAAACACAAATTAAGCACGGGCACGTAAGTAACAACTGCTTTGTTTGAGAATAGGTTTTCCCATTTTTTCTGGCAACAAACAGGTGTTTTATCTGGAAACAAAACTGGCACCTTTTTTACAAGGAGTCATGTTTGCATTGACCACAATACCTGTGGTTGGAATGCAAACAAAAAACACAACTCTGATAATATATGCACTGTCCTTGAAATTGATTGGTCCACACCCAAGACAGCTTTTCTTAGAGCCTAGTCTCACATGGTGTTGGACCAGATGACGCCAAAAGGCGCACAACTCAAAGACAATGCACCATCAGAGTATGAGAGCTCGGGGTAAGCATTTTTTGTTGCCAAATAAAGGGTAAAAAAACAATAATCATTTTTTGCTATTGGCAAAGGAGGTTCCAATGATGAGGTGTTAAGATGTTAGAAAACCAAACTGAAACCTTTTACAAGGAATCATGTCTGCATTAACCACAATACTTGTGGTCAGAATGCAAACAAAAAACACACTGATAACACTGGTCAACAACAAAAAATTCTGGCCTGGACTTTTGCAGCTGTTTTAGACTAATTTCAGGGTGCTGATTCCAAGTCTGATCTCAGATTTGCTCTATCACATCTCATTTTTATGCTATTGGCATACCCCATTTTCATTGATTTTACCCGAAATTAACTCTGTCACTTATGATTGCAAGTTGTTGCGAGTCAGTGACTGCTTTAGTGTTAAAATATGGTGCTGTATTTTTAGGATAGTGTGTTTATAATATCATTTTATGTAGATATCCACATTTATGTAATATTTTTCTTCTGCAGTTTTTATTGAAAATGCAATATTTGATATGGCAAAAACCTGATGTGATAGACAAAAACTGATGCCACATTTGGAATCGGCACCCCAAAATTACCTTAAAACCGTTGGAATACCTTATGCCAGAAAAAGTGTGTTGACCAGTGTAATATATGCATAGTCCTTGAAACTGATTGGTCCATATTCTTAGGTTTTTAAATAAAAAAAAAATATTTTATTTTTATTTTACTTTTATTAATTAAAATTTCTTTACCTACGTGACTTTACCGAAAAAAACCTAAGAATATGAATCCTTGCAGTCACGAAAGCTTCAAATCTAGAACTGATTGCTCCACACCAGAGACGCGCGGTTTCACTCTGTCCGCGTCGCGTTCTCGCTTTGCGCGTGCGTGGCGGCGGCGTCGCGCAAGGGATTCGCTGCAGCAGGAGCGGGAGAATGGCCGCGGTGTCGCCAAGCTGTACGAGCAGTGCCAAGCTCAGCTGCAGCTCAAGGAGGAGCAGCTTCTGCTGGAGGAGAAGGAGAAGCGGCGCGCGGAGCACAACCTGCAGAGCGCGCAGCTGGAGAAGTCCATGACGGAGCAACGCATGCAGCTGCTGAGTGACCATTTAGCAGAGGTACCAAGGCCACCTTCTTGGTTCTTTCGGTAAAGTCACGTAGAAGGGAAATAATAAAATAATAAAATATAACATAATAAAATTATTCTCACGACGTTTCGGCCACAACGCAAACAGCCGTCCTCAGGTGAAGAACAGGTCTGTCGGGAAGACAGCGTCTGAATGAAACACCCCAGGCTTGGAGCGTATATTTAAGCTGGGTTGGAGGGAGAAGAGCGCCTTGACAAAATAATTGGCATATCAAGAGGAATTTAGCATATTTATGGGAAATGCAGATATGGATTAGTCACTTTTGGCGTCCTCTGGTCTAACGCCGTTTGAGATGAGGCTCAAAAGAAAGCTGTCTCTGGTGTGGACCAATCAGTTTCAAGGACAATGCATATATTATCAGAGAGTGTTTTTTTTGTTTGCATTCTGACCACAAGTATTGTGGTTAATGCAGACATGATTCCTTGTAAAAAGGTTTCAGCTTTGTTGCCAGAAAAAAAGGGGAAAAACCTATTCTCATAGCTTACATATAGATTGATGCTCGTGCGTAACACACAAAAAATAAATAAATGTTCGAAAACTGGCATGATACTTTTGGATGCTAAAACAATATCTGGTGGGGGGAGTGTTTTATTATGATGTATGTTCAAATATGATTGGCGGAATGACGTGTCATTTGCTGAAAACTTTTCACGTATTTGTGCCTTGTTTTATTGTTTAAGCTCGAGAAGAAGCTATCTGAAATCCAGCCAGACTTGGAGAACGAGAGGTCATTGCGACTGCAGCAAGAACGCATTCTTGACGAGCATTTGCAAAAGCAGCAGCAATCGCAAGAGGAACGCGAAAGGAACTCTGTGAGTAAACCGCACGGCCCAGTCACCGTGCGTGGCGGCACTTGGCCAAACATCACGAAAACGACTTTGAACTGTGCAGCTTTTTTTGCAGCAGCGACCTTTGGCCTTCACGAATGACCGCTCAAACAAAGTGGCTTATCGCGTGGAGATTCATAGCAGCCACATACTCTAAACGCAAACAAGCATGGTTACATACTCTTGGATCTTTCGGTAAAGTCATGTAGAAGGGAAATAATGAATAATATAAATTTAAGCATGGTTACAACAATAATACTGATGCCTGCTGTATATTTACAGTTGGCATGTGTCTCTCCCGGTGGTCGCGTGGATTTTTTATGGGTCCTCCGGTTTTTCCCTCCACATTTAGAATCGACGTGACGCGCTTAGAGTATTTGGCTACTATACATGTCCATGTGATGATGATGATAAGCCACTTCGTTGAGCTATCATTCGTGGCCAGGTCACTTCTGAAAAAGAGCTACACAGCTCAGTGGGTCTTACCTGGTAAAATGAAACTAGTTTAGTTTATAGACACGCCTGTGCTGTGTGTACAGGCGGCATGTGTTCAGGGAGAGGACCTCGGACGACCATCCCTGGCCCTGGACAACAGCAAGCTGCAGGAGGAGATCTCCGTGTTGAATCGTGACATGCAGCGCCACTCCGCATCCTTCAGAGAAAGGGAAGAACTCTTAATGAATGAAAAAAACACGTTGCTTGAAAACCTCGAGGCCCTGCGGAGAAAGGTGAATCTGAACGAGGACGCCCTGCAGCAAGCCGTCCAGAAGTACAACGTGGAGCTGAGCAGCGCAAGAGCGTCAGCGGACGAGAACGCCCGAAGGCTGGAGCAAGAGACGGTCGGCAGGGAGCGCGCGCTGGAAGAATTGGAGACGGTCAGGAAGCAGCTGTTACGGGCGACATCCGAGCGAGGCGATGGGCTCGAGGAGAACGGCGGCCCGGGGCAACCGGAGCTGCAGCAGAAGCGGCGGGATGACACGAAGCTGCGAGAGCTGCTGGAGCGCGAGGCGCTGCTGTCCCAGCAGCTGAGCCGCACGGAGAGCCGCTGCAGCGAGCTGGAGAGCGAGCGCCACCGCCAGTCGCTGGAGCTCGTCGAGAAGGAGCACGCGCTGGAAACTTGCCGGAGGGAGCTGGGCGCCGCCCGGCAGCGGGCCGAGGAGCTGGACGTCGCCCTGCGCGGCGAGAGGGAGGAGACGGCCAAGCTGCTGGTGCGCGAGGAGTCGCAGAAGGAGCGCATGGTGCAGGCCCAGAGCGACAATCTGCTGCTGCGCCAGCAGCTGGAGGAGGCCAGCGCGAAGGTGTTGCAAAAGGAGACGGTCGTTACGGGAATTCAGGACAGGTTCGACGACCTGCTGTCCAAACTCCAGGCTGACAAGAACCAGCGGGAGCAGGTGCTGGAGGAGCGGAATCAAGAACTTGTCGCCAGTGCCAACTGCTTGAAGGAGACGATGAAGAAATTGGAGGATGAGAAAAGCAATAACGAGGTAAGCCTCTGCGTGCTCCGTTTCAATCCACACTATTTGGTGTTGGCCGCAGGAGATAAAATCTGTCACTAATGAAAGCATCAGAGATACGGAATTTTCACTCCAGGCCTCCCCAGATGTGTACACAGGACCCAGTTTACCGGCGTTGCTCTATGTTAGCGGCAGGGTTCATGAGAGCGATGTGTTCACAGGACCTGCTGCACCAGCGGAAGCAGGACCTGGCTGACGCTCTGAAGAAGCTGGCCATGTCGGAGGCCTCTCTGGATATCACCGTCAAACATCGCTCTGCGCTGGAGGCCGAGAAGACTCAACTGCACAACAACTTGGAATCACAGAGACAGCAGGTTAGGAGCGACCTCGGCCAAGCTGACCTGGTCAAGGATAGGGCACTGACCAATCCTTGTAGCTCAAACCCACCCACGTGACAACACGTAGCTGCTGTATACGCATCATCATCAAACGTTCCCAGCACATCACCAGCCATGTGTTTTTTCTCCTGCTGTTTTCATACAGGTTAAGCAGCGGCAGATTAACGTTTACCGTTGCCCAGAGGTCGCAACCCAGTACCCGATACCCCTACCCTACCCGATACCCGGCTACCCGTACCCGGCCAGGTATGGGTACGGGTAACGCGTTTGCGTTCCTGGTGCGGCCGGGTACGGGTACGGGTAGGCCGTGAGTCACTGGTGAGTAACCGTTTGTCACTCATTTCGGGTAGGGTACGGGTACGGGTAGGTACTCATTTCGGGTAGGTAACGGGTACCCGTACCCGGCCGGGTACGGGTACCCATTTGCGACCCTGGTGCGGCTGGGTACGGGTACGGGTAAGGAATCAAAACTCGTTTGCGACCTCTGCCGTTGCCCGCTGTTAGAGGCCGCACGGGAGATCGTTGTCGTTGTGCGCACTCGGTTGCCGTCGTGCGTGCGTGCGTGCGTATGTGCGCTCGTGTGCGTCGCAGCTGCTGGACAAGGAGCGTGAGCACGTGCGGGCGGAGCAGCAGCTGCAGGAGGTGCAGGCGGCGCTGCAGCAGAGCAGGGCGGGAGGCGGCGGCGCACGCTGCCAGTGACCACGAGCGCGCGTGCAGCCTCGACCGAGCCCGCAGGCAGCTCCAGGAGCTGGAGGACAAGTGCCAGCGGTGCGTACCCCCCCCCCCCCCCCCTGCTGACGCCGCCATCGCTCGTCGCCTCGATTTCGCGAACGTGCCAGTACCGGTGTTTCCGGGGGCGGTTTCGTTTTGCGGGATAACCGGCAACGTGGCCCCGATCTCGTCACACCCTGAAAGCGAAATTCGGGATCGCGCTTGGACGGGTGACAACCAGTGCACGTCAGGTTGTCGTAGGTTTGCTGCGGGGCTGCGATTCCACGGCACCCGCACGTCCACGCTCTCCCCGCCTTCAGCAAGCCCACGCTGGTCCGCGCGGCGTAAGCGTGGTCGGATAACCCCCACGGCGTCGTCCGGCAAATCGGTCGATTGACAAAGCAGCTTGCGATTTTATGGAAGGTGCCAATATGAGTTGTGATTATTGTCATCACCCTCGCAGCGGCTTTTGGATAGCCATCCAACAAAGACGATCGTCACATCGCGCGCTTTAAGATGCGCTTCTGCGGACGTCTGGAATGCTCTTCCTTCTGATATTAGAAAGCTACGGTTGGCTACGTCATGTGCGAAATAAGTTCAACATACATACGTCTGCTTAATGTGTCCGTCACTTAATTGTAACTTTACGATGATTTTTCTTAAAACAAAGAAGCTCAGCATAGATTATTATTGTGAATTGATAAGAACCGATGTGATTCGGCGATACGCCGCCCGGCTCCCGAGTGAGTTGCGACGGGTGAAACGCCCGTGCTGGTGGTGAGCGCGGCGGCGTGGCTCTGTGTGCCCAGGGTGGAGGCGGAGAGGAGTCGGCTGGAGGCGGCCGTGCAGGCTCACAGCGGCAACGCGGAGGCGCTGCGGACTCAGCTGCAGAGCTCGGCGCAGGTGCCCGCATGCGCCCGCCCACACGCGCTCGCTTGCAAGCGCTCACACGCATGCGGCACACGGGGGGCGGCTTGCCGAACGCTGAGCGCCTCGGACGCTCCACGCCACGCCAACGCCTCCATATCCCTCATTGTTTCTTCTTCTCACCCTGACCCCTAATCCCAGTGCTTCACCCTCCCTATACCCCCCCCCCCCTCAATCTTTATAGGGGCACCGCGGTGGCTAAATGTTAACTACCTCGCCTGGTATGGAGGATGTCGTGGGTTCGATCCCGGCGACCCTGACGCCTGCTGCTGTATATTTGGACCTCTTTTCCTGCACCACCTCCTCTTACCAACACCTCCTCTTACCACACCTCCTCTTACCACCACCTCCTCTTACCAGCTCGCAGAGACCATTCCCACACCACCACCACCGCCACACTTGACCTCACCTTCCTGCAAAGCACCCGCTGGAGATTGTATTATCCAGCCGGATGTTTATTTTCCCGTGAACTTTCCCTCGTTGATCCCCCTCCACCCACGTTGAGGACTCGGTCCACCAGACACTGTTTTGTCTTCTCTGTACTGCGTTCAACCACCACCACACTGCAGCTCACACAATACTCTCACCTGACTCACCCACCCACTCACCCACTCACCCACCCACCACACTGCAGCTCACACAATACTCTCACCTGACTCACCCCCCCCTCACCCACCCACCACACTACAGCTCACACAATACCTTCACCTGACTCACCCACCCACCCTCACCCACTCACCCACCCACCACACTGCAGCTCACACAATACCTCACCTGACTCACTCACCCACTCACCCACCCACCACACACAGCTCACACAATACCTTCACCTCACTCACCCACCACCCACTCACCCACTCACCCACCCACCACACTGCAGCTCACACAATACCTTCACCTGACTCACCCCCCACTCACCCACCCCCACCCCACCACACTACTCTCACACAATACCTTCACCTCACTCACCCTCCACCCACTCACCCACTCACCCACCCACCACACTGCTCACACAATACCTCACCTGACTCACCCACCCACTCACCCACCCACCACACTGCAGCTCACACAATACCTCACCTGACTCACCCATCCACTCACCCACTCACCCACCCACCACACTGCAGCTCACACAATACCTCACCTCACTCACCCACCCCCTCACCACTCACCCACCCACCACACTGCAGCTCACACAATACCTCACCTGACTCACCCATCCACTCACCCACTCACCCACTCCCCACCACACTACAGCTCACACAATACCTTCACCTCACTCACCCATCCACCCACTCCCCACTCACCCACCCACCACACTGCAGCTCACACAATACCTCACCTGACTCACCCACCACTCACCCACTCACCCACCACCCACACTACAGCTCACACAATACCTTCACCTCACTCACCCATCCACCCACTCACCCACTCACCCACCCCCACACTGCAGCTCACACAATACCTCACCTGACTCACCCACCCACTCACCCACTCACCCACCCACCACACTGCAGCTCACACAATACCTCACCTGACTCACCCATCCACTCACCCACTCACCCACCACCACACTGCAGCTCACACAATACCTCACCTGACTCACCCACCCACCACCCACTCACCCACCCACCACACTGCAGCTCACACAATACTCTCACCTGACTCACCCACCCACTCACCCACTCACCCACCCCCACACTACAGCTCACACAATACCTTCACCTGACTCACCTACCCACTCACCCACTCACCCACCCACCACACTGCAGCTCACACAATACTCTCACCTGACTCACCCATCCACTCACCCACTCACCCACTCACCCACCACACTGCAGCTCACACAATACTCTCACCTGACTCACCCACCCACTCACTCACCCACCCACCACACTGCAGCTCACACAATACCTCACCTGACTCACCCACCCACTCACTCACCCACCCACCACACTACAGCTCACACAATACCTCACCTGACTCACCCATCCACTCACCCACTCACCCACTCACCCACCACACTGCAGCTCACACAATACCTTCACCTGACTCACCCATCCACCCACTCACCCACTCACCCACCCACCACACTGCAGCTCACACAATACTCCACCTGACTCACCCACCCCTCACCCACTCACCCACCCACCACACTGCAGCTCACACAATACTCTCACCTGACTCACCCACCCACTCACCCACTCACCCACCCACCACACTGCAGCTCACACAATACCTTCACCTGACTCACCCCCCCTCACCCACTCACCCACCCACCACACTACAGCTCACACAATACCTTCACCTGACTCACCCACCCACTCACCCACTCACCCACCCACCACACTGCAGCTCACACAATACTCTCACCTGACTCACCCATCCACCACCCACTCACCCACTCACCCACCCACCACACTGCAGCTCACACAATACTCTCACCTGACTCACCCACCCACTCACCCACTCACCCACCCACCACACTGCAGCTCACACAATACTCTCACCTGACTCACCCACCACTCACCCACTCACCCACTCACCCACCCACCACACTGCAGCTCACACAATACTCTCACCTGACTCACCCATCCACTCACCCACTCACCCACCCACCACACTGCAGCTCACACAATACCTCACCTGACTCACCCATCCACTCACCCACTCACCCACCCACCACACTGCAGCTCACACAATACTCTCACCTGACTCACCCACCCACTCACCCACTCACCCACCCACCACACTGCAGCTCACACAATACTCTCACCTGACTCACCCACCCACTCACCCACTCACCCACCCACCACACTGCAGCTCACACAATACTCTCACCTGACTCACCCATCCACTCACCCACTCACCCACCCACCACACTGCAGCTCACACAATACCCTCACCTGACTCACCCACCCACTCACCCACTCACCCACCCACCACACTGCAGCTCACACAATACTCTCACCTGACTCACCCACCCACTCACCCACTCACCCACTCACCCACCCACTGCAGCTCACACAATACTCTCACCTGACTCACCCACCCACTCACCCACTCACCCACCCACCACACTGCAGCTCACACAATACCTTCACCTGACTCACCCACCCACTCACCCACTCACCCACCACCACACTGCAGCTCACACAATACCTTCACCTGACTCACCCACCCACTCACCCACTCACCCACCCACCACACTGCAGCTCACACAATACTCTCACCTGACTCACCCACCCACTCACCCTCACCCACCCACCACACTGCAGCTCACACAATACCTCACCTGACTCACCCACCCACTCACCCACTCACCCACCCACCACACTGCAGCTCACACAATACTCTCACCTGACTCACCCACCCACTCACCCACTCACCCACCCACCACACTGCAGCTCACACAATACTCTCACCTGACTCACCCACCACTCACCCACTCACCCACCCACCACCTACAGCTCACACAATACTCTCACCTGACTCACCCACCCACTCACCCACTCACCCACCCACCACACTGCAGCTCACACAATACTCTCACCTGACTCACCCACCCACTCACCCACTCACCCACCCACCACACTGCAGCTCACACAATACCTCACCTGACTCACCCACCCACTCACCCCTCACCCACCCACCACACTGCAGCTCACACAATACTCTCACCTGACTCACCCCCACTCACCCACTCACCCACCCACCACACTGCAGCTCACACAATACCTCACCTGACTCACCTACCCACTCACCCACTCACCCACCCACCACACTGCAGCTCACACAATACTCTCACCTGACTCACCCACCCACTCACCCACTCACCCACCCACCACACTGCAGCTCACACAATACTCTCACCTGACTCACCCACCCACTCACTCCACTCACCCACCCACCACACTACAGCTCACACAATACTCTCACCTGACTCACCCACCCACTCACCCACTCACCCACCCACCACACTACAGCTCACACAATACCTTCACCTGACTCACCCACCACTCACCCACTCACACCCACCCACCACTGCAGCTCACACAATACCCTCACCTGACTCACCCACCCACTCACCCACTCACCCACCCACCACACTGCAGCTCACACAATACCTCACCTGACTCACCTACCCACTCACCCACTCACCCACCCACCACACTGCAGCTCACACAATACCTCACCTGACTCACCCATCCACTCACCCACTCACCCACCACCACACTGCAGCTCACACAATACCCTCACCTGACTCACCCACCCCCTCACTCCCCCCACCACACTACAGCTCACACAATACCTCACCTGACTCACCCATCCACTCACCCACTCACCCACTCACCCACCCACTGCAGCTCACACAATACTCTCACCTGACTCACCCACCCACTCACCCACTCACCCACCCACCACACTGCAGCTCACACAATACCTTCACCTGACTCACCCATCCCTCACCCACTCACCCACCCACCACACTGCAGCTCACACAATACCTTCACCTGACTCACCCATCCACTCACCCACTCACCCACCCACCACACTGCAGCTCACACAATACTCTCACCTGACTCACCCACCCCTCACCCACTCACCCACCCACCCACACTGCAGCTCACACAATACTCTCACCTGACTCACCCACCCACTCACCCACTCACCCACCCCCACACTGCAGCTCACACAATACTCTCACCTGACTCACCCCCACCCCTCACCCACTCACCCACCCACCACACTGCAGCTCACACAATACTCTCACCTGACTCACCCATCCACTCACCCACTCACCCACTCACCCACCGCAGCTCATACAATACCTCACCTGACTCACCCATCCACCCACTCACCCACTCACCCACCCACCACACTGCAGCTCACACAATACTCTCACCTGACTCACCCACCCACTCACCCACTCACCCACCCACCACACTGCAGCTCACACAACTCTCACCTGAC